AAAACACACCCCCTTAAAAACACACCCCCTCAAAAACCGCGCCCCCAGATCCCGCCCTGATTTTGGCTTGAGGCAGGCTCGGCACGGCTCAGTTCGGGTTTGGCCCGGCTCCCCTGGACCCAGTCCCGCCCGTTTCTCGGGGCCCCGCCGCTTCCATTGACCCCTCCGGACCCGCTGGTGCGTGTGGGACTCTCCTGCGGCCCCGCTCTCTCCTCAGCGCACTCACAGTGAGCTCCAAGATGCCCTAACCCCTCTCCAGTGCCCCCCGTCAGTCCCCCCAGCCCAGGAGCTCTGAGCTGTCTGCAAYCTGCTGCCAATCCAGAGGCCACACAGAAAGCACAGCCTGGTTCTCGAAATGCTTTATGACTGGGCCGGCTGCACCGCMATCCCCATCTGGCTCCCGCATAGGGGGACAACGATCCGAAGTTACAAAAGATTTACAAAGAGGTGTCTGAGTGTACCACAGTCGGGGGTCCCAGCTGCTTGTGGCCAGCTGGTGGCACAGCATGGCCTCACGGTCTCCTTCCCTGGAACACGGTGACAAGCAGCTCTCAGCATCAGCCTGAAAACTAACACCTCCCCAAGGCAGAAAGCAAAGGCCCCACCAGGTCTTTGGCAGCTTTTTATATTTCAGCACTTTGATATTGTTGGAATAAAGTTTGTTTTAAAAAAGTCAACATATAAAACTTACTCCCTTGCCTGAACAGGCAACACTCAGTATCACCCAGCTGGACTGAATGCAGGTCCATGGGCATGGTGTGTACGCCTGGCATGAGGCACAGCAGGGACCACGGTCCCCTCAGGAGCTCCTCGCTGCTGGGGATGCTCAGGAGTCCATCCAGCTGGTGGATCTGGGGTGTGAAGCACCCCCTCAGTTCATGAACTGGGTATAGCCCTCTGCCCCAGTGACAATGACGTCCATCCAGATGCGCATGGCCTCGGCCGAGGGTGCCACCATGTAGTAGAGTCGGTCGTGGGTCTTGACACAGAAAGTGAGTGCAGGATTGGGGCTCTGGGGGGGAGGACAGAATTAGCACTCTGGCCCCCTTTGAGCAGCAGCAATCCCCTCCGTGTCCCCCCATAAAGCCCAGCACTGGGGTCCTGCCCTTGGCAGCATAAGGGGCCATGGACCATTCCAGGAGCATCCCTGGCACGCACTGCCCTACCACCTCCTACCTTAGTGACAGAGAGCAATGCAGGAGAATGGGGRTGCCCACAGGGGCTCCCAGCAGACACCAGAGCAGTGGCAGTGCCCAGCCCTCACCTTTGCAGCACTGCGGAGGTGGTCATAGTAAACCTCTTCAATGGCTTGGAAGTAGATAACACCCTTCAGCTTTGTCTCATGTTTATCTGCCCAAGAGAGGGAATCGTTGTCGACTGTGGGTGATGGCGTGGGGAGGGGACGCGAGRCAGCACAGGGACTCACCCACGTAGTACGAGAGCGTGCGCTTCATGCGGTCAAACACAAACCAACGCTTCTTCCAAGACTTGATCTTCCCACCCATCTTGACCAGGTAGCCCTTGCACATCTTCTCTGTCAGGATGATGTGGTAGCAGGTGTCAACACTGTGGCCTGAGGACTCGATGTGCAGCCGCAGGTTGAAATCCTCCTTGCGGATGGGGAGGTACCGCGTCAGGGGACGAGCCTGCAAAAGCAACACAACCCTGCAAAGCCCACCGATGATGGCAAGAGCCACATCCCCCCGCTGGGAGCTGGACTTCAGTAGCAAGCAGGGTGTGCCTCACTGCCCAGGCCGGGAGAGAGGGATGGAAACCCATCTCACACCTGTGAGAAGTGCTTCTCCCGCAGCTTGACCTCCTTCTCCACGAGTTTCTGCCGCCGCACGGTCTCATCCTGCAGCCGGCGCTCCAGCTGCTCGCGGCGCCAGCGCTCATCCTCCAGTGCCTGCTGGCGCAGCTCCATTTCCCGCTCCTGCCGCACGCACAGACGCTCAGCCGCAACAACCAGAGACCTGCTCAGCCTCCAGCCCTGCTGCTGGTGCCCCCACTCACCCGGGACTCCATCAGCCGGGACTTCTCCTCGTGTGCCTCCTTCAGCATCTTCTCCATCTCCTCAATCTTCCCTGTCTCCATCCCACTGGCACTGCAAGACAGCGGCAGCTGCTGCACCAGCAGGAAGGACCTTCAGCCAGCASTGTAGCAGCAGAGCGGGCTGTCCCCTGGCCATGTGAGCTGGCCCAGGGTTACCTGGAGACATTGTCAGGTGAGCATGCCGAGTTGTTGCCAATGGAGATGCTGGTCTCCATGCTGTCGGAGCTCTCCAGGCTGAGTGTGTCGTATGCATGGTCCAGCTCCTCAGCCCGGGACCCAGCACCATGGGGGCGGTGGTGGTGGAGGATGGAGTGGTGCATGAGCCGGGGGAAGGCAGTGGGGAAGAGGGGCTGCCCATGCAGGGCTTCCCACTGGGACTGCACCTCAGCAGCTGCTTTTTGCTTCAGCTCTGCGAGCCGCCGTTTCTGCTCCTCGATCACCTGCTGACCTGGGCCATGGAAAGATGACAATGTCAAGTTAAACGTGCCACGTTCAGTGCTGCAGCACGGCGGGCCAGGGGGTGGCACAGGCAGGAGAAGACACTACAGGCACTGCTGAAGCCAGGTAGGCACGGTAGGGGCAGAGGTGGGAGCTGCTGTCACACCTCTCTGGCAAGCACAGCAATCCTCTGGGCAGGAGCAGGAGGTGCATGCACCAAGCTGGTAGCAACAGGCTGGGCAAAGCGTTAGCAGGTTAGGGATGCACAGGGCTGTCCCTAAGCGGATGCTGAGGCCCCTGGGTCCTGGACTGGTCATGTATGGCAGAAGGCACTGGCAAACAGCCATGCTGCTGCCTCTGGGCTGCTCCAGGCAGCCCAAGTCACCCCACATCTCTACCTGGTAGAYTGCCTGGCTGCAAGGGCTCTGCTGGGACCAGCTCAGCTGGAGACGGGCCATCAGGTGGAGGGGACAGGAGGAAAGAGAGAGGGGAAAAGCAAGAGACTGAGAGAGGCACTGCACCCCACCGGAGCACTGCTGCTGCTGCTGCCACCCTCAGCCAGSCTCTCTTCTCCATTGCCTAAGTGGCAGCGGTGACAGAGCCTCCCAAAGTCCCACTACCCCACCGAGGCAGGATGCAGAGCCAGAGCTCACCCTTCTGCTGCAGGGCCAGCTGGCGCTTGGTCTCGATGTCCTGCAGGGTGGCCACCAGGCTGCGGGACAGGCTGCCCGCCGGGCTCGGGGGGCCCTGGGCAGGACAGCAGGTGATCAGCTGCAAGGATGGGWACGGGGGCTGGCACCAGCTATGTGTGAACCACGGCCAGGGTGCCTGCGTCTCCCTGGCAGCCATACCTTAGGTGAGGGGCTGCGCCCTAGCACAGAGAGGTTGAGCTGCGAGGACGAGGGGGTCCCACTCTTCATCCGAGGGGTAAGGACATCACCAGCACCACCCTCTGTTTTTGCACGGCAGACCTGAGCACAGAGACACAGAGGTGAGAGAGATACCGGGGAACTGCCCATCTGTCAGCAGGGCTGAGCTGCTAACCCTCCCCAGATCCTGCCCTGTGTTGGTGCCATCCTGGCAGGGRTGCAGGGAGGTCAGCTCTACCTTTGCCTGCTGTGGCAGCCAGGGCCCTAGCAGCACTCAGGGTACAGGGACCACAGGAATGTCCCCACATTGCCCCACTTTTGCYACAACCAGCGGCCCCAAGGCCTGAGCCTCAGCAGCAGGGAGCCAGGATTACCTGGAGAGCCTTGTGAGAGGAGTGAGCTTTAGCTGGAAGTGGAGGAGGGGAAGAAGGAGGAGAGACAGAGGAAGAGGAGGTCTCAAAGCCAGCCATAACCTCCTGGTACCACTTCTCTAAACCAAGTGCTGAGAGACACACGGGGCCTCCCAACAGCTGCTGCTCCATCTGGAGAGAGAGGCCGCATGAGAAAGGATGAAGCACAAATGCAGCAAGAGGGACAGATGCACAGAGAAGAGGTTGGAGCATCCCTGCCTGTGCCTGCACCGTTCCCCCAGACCTGTGGTAAGGTCTTGCACTCTCCCTGGCTAAGTCCCAGCAGCTGTAGGAGCCCTTTCCTGTTCCCAAGGTGAGAACTGATCAAGCACAGAGACCCCCGTGCCCTGGTGGCAGTGGAGCAGCAGGCAGGACAGCCAGGGGTGTGTGGACTGTCACCAGCCTGAGCTGCTGCTCAGCTTCATCACCCCTTCCCATGCATCCCCATCACCTCCCAGGGAGAGTGCAAGGGGCCAAAGGGAGGCAAYCAGGGCACCAACCTCTGCAGAGACGAAGGGAGAAGGGAGCGATTGAAGAGGAGGAGCACAGCCTGAGGATGAAGGAGCTGGATGGGTACAGCCCAGCAGAGAAGCAGCAGGAATGTGGAGGCTGCCCAGGATACCCGAGAGTTGCTCAATGGTCACATACTGGGCAGAGAGAAGCAGATTAAACCAGGAAAAGAGCAAGGGCAAGYAGCCCCAGAGGAATGAGCAGGCAGTGCCAACCCCCAAAGGAGGGTTCATTGTCCTGTGAGGAAAAGCAGTCGGTGCTGGAGCCACCATGGTGCTGGGCACTGGGTCACATCCACACCTGCTCTGCATCCTCCTTGCTTGGGAAGAGCAACCAGGACTGCATCGAACAAAGGGCTGCCCTCTGCTCCTGAACCCTGCCACTACATCCAGAGCAGGCAAGAAGTGCACCCTGGCAAGGGAGCCCTGAGCCTCTGCACCCCACTCAGCTGCAGCCAGACAAGTGTCCTGACCCCAGAGAGATGTGGGCTCCAAGCACCAGGGCACACAGGGAGGCCACAGCTTCCTCACTGCCTGCTGTGCAGCAGGCAACCCAAGGGAGCAAACCCAAGCATGCTCTGGGGCAGGTACCTCGTTGGCTGTGGGAGGTACAGCAAGCAAGAAAGCGTGCTGAGCGGCAGCAGGGGCAGCAGCAGAAGCTTTAGTGTCCAGGCTCGGGCCATGGGCTTTACTGCAGAACCTGAAAACGTCAGACAGCCTCATGTACTCCTAGAAATCCACGGCAAGGGAGAAGGAGAAGAGTTAGACTGTGTGCTGGCATCATGGCACTGACTGCATAGTGGGAGCAAACCTCCCGTGCATGCATGCCCCWAGAGTGCCTCCCAGCACAGCCCTGCTGCCTGTGCTGTCCCAGCTGCAGCACATGGGGGACGCGTGGTGCTCACGCTGGGCTGGGTGTGCCTGCACCCATCCTGCTCCAGCCTTCAGCACAGTTTGCTGAGATCCTACAAGGGACTGGGATGCCTCAGAGTCTTCCACAGTCCCTGGGCACAGTTCGTCCCCAGTGCAACAGCACTGGATAAGGCACCTCAAGCTGTGCTGAGCCAGCTTAAAGTTCACTTCCTTGTCCTTTCTGAGCCAAACATATGAAAGCTGAGGACTTGCTCTTATTTTGGAAAAGCCAGGCTGGCGGGACCCTACAGGATGCTGTCAGGAGGTGCCCAGCCACATGGCAGGCAGTGGGCAAGGGGAAAGCACAGGGATGTCTGTGCCYCACAGCGCTGCACCAGGATTAAAACAGAGGGCAGCAGCAGGAACTGGGATGCCCAGCAGGCTCAGGAGAGCATCTGGAATCAGGGACTGAGTGTTAATGAACACAGCTGCCAGAGAGCTGTATGATAAATGCCCCAGCCATGCTGTTGTGGGGTGACATGAATCCACAAAGAGTCTCGGCCAAGGACGGGTAAGTGAGCAAGCACATGCAGCCAGTCCCTCCAGTTAGTTACCTCTTGTGCCTTAGGGTAGGAGCAGGTAGCAGGAGAAGCTAAGGAGGCAGCTGCTGCTGGCAGGGGACTCAGGGGCTTAGTTCCCTCCAACAGCTCATAAGGTTCTGAGATGTGGAGGGTCTCCTGTTGAAGGGTAAAGATCATGTAGGCAAGGTGGGCACAGACAGCAAGGTGACAGCAGCAGGAGCCCCACTGCAGGCAGGCATGAGGGGACTCTGCCATCCTATGCCTCTTCCCAGCACCAGGTCAGGCAACACCACAGCCACCGAGGGCATGGTGGCTCTGGCTCCCCATTCAGAGCCACAGGCAGGGTAACGGGGCAACTCACCACCTGAAAGTCCCCTGTACCAGCACCAAGACACTCCCACACTTGCTCTCCAGCAGACATGGGACCCCAGACAGTGCTGTCCCACGTGCTGCTCTGTTGCATTTCTTTCCCTCCCTCCCAACCTCTGCAGCCCATGGAGAGACTTTGAGCAGCTGGAAGCACCTGGCTCTGGCCAGAAGTACTTGGGAACACAGGAACTACTGCAGAGCAAAGCTGGTGATGCACAAGACTCATCCTCACTGGCGACAGCAGCTTAGGAGAGCAGCTCTAAGCACCGTAGACCCCTCTACCCACTTACCTCTCGAAGGGCCGAAGATATTTTGGGGAAGCTTCTGCCACCTGTGACCAGCTGGTATCTCCTCTCCAGAGACATGAGCTTCTCCTTCTCCTGTGCATAGGATGACAGGTCAGAGGCAGCTGATGGTTACTGGCATCCCATGGCCGGTCACCCCCTAAGCTCATCCTGCCTGCCAGCAACCYGGCAAGAGCTGGCATGACCCTGCCCCCTGCCTGGAGCACCCTCAGGAGCACACAATCRTGGCCTTACCTTCTGTAGGAGCTGCAGGATGCTGCTCCGCTCCCTAGCGAGGCGCTCAGCCTCCTGGGCACTCTGAAGCTGAATCTGGGCAGCCTGGGCATCCAGGGCAGCCACCCGCTCCTGGGGAGCAAGCAGCAGCGATGAGCTGGCCACTGGTGAGCCATGGGATGCAGCCAGGCTGGACCTACTGGCCCTCCAGCCCTACCTTTCTGCGGGCGATGCTGCGGTGGCACTCAGCCCTGCTCTGCAGGAGCTGCTGGCCCCGTGCCTCGTGCTCCTCTTCCAGGTGGCTCTCCCGCTCCAGCTGCTGGAACTCCAGGTCCTCAAACAGCTTGGCCTCCATCTCCAGTGCTTCTGCCTCCTTTGAACACACAAGAGCACCGTGAGCGGCTCAKTCCCACTGGACGGGCACCTCTGCATCCTGCAGGCAGGTCCTCCACAGCAAAACCTCCTGCCGTGCCTCCACATCCTACTGGTGCTGGCCAAGAACAAGAGCTCCTGGCCAAGCCTGTCCCCTGTGCCTGGTRTGGGCAGGCAGGCAGTTTTGCCTTCTTGTGGGCACCAGAAACATGAGAGATACTGACAGGAATGTCTGCCATCAGGAGAAGGCAATGAGGCACCCAGAACTGGCCAGGACAGAGCAGTCATCCCCAGGAGATGAGCTCACCACAGGCAGGGGCTTCATCAGCCCTGAGAGAGCAGCTGCACCTGCTGAACCACATGACAGGTAGCAAAATACCACCCGCCATCAAAACCACCAACACGCAACACGGTGTCACCCAGCTGCAGGTGGCAAAGCCCCCACAGGCAAGCACCATGAGTGTCCTTCCAGCCTTCATGTACCGACAGCACACGGCAGCACTGCGCTCCGGGCCTACCCATCCCATCCTGGCAGCCATGGCACCAGGATCCCACAGGAACGTGCTTCCCTCTGCTCCCTGAGCCTGGCAGCCAGTCCCTTGTGGCACAGCGCTGGCACGGTGGCTCCCGAGGGCTGCCACAGACACCGCTCTGTGCTCTCATCACCTCCCTGCCTGCTGCACACCAGACTCATCCAGCATGGGGCACCTGGCCGGAGAGGCTGTGCCAATGTGGGTTTATCTGGGTAGGCACCAGCCACGGGCTGGGGAAAGTTAACTGCTTCCAGAAAATACCAAATAATAGGAAAAAATGCTGAGGACTAGCACTAACATAAATCAACATCACTGTGAAAATAAACATTCTCAGAAACAGCTGGAGGCAGCCAGATGAGGATGCAGCAGCCCCCAAGACTCCCCAGGCTGCCCTCCTTCGCAAGGCACGGTCCATGCCCGTCTCAGGAGCTCTGCCAAGCCGGTCCCGAGCAGCTCTGCCACGCCAGCCCCGTGCCCCGGGCCCGGGCGAGCGGCAAGCTTACCAGGACGCTGGTGCCCGGTGCCAGCCGCTCCAGCCCGGGTGCGACGCTCTCAGTGCAGCCCCGGCTGGCAGGGAAGAGCTGGCCTAAGCTGGAGCAGAGGGAGGTGGGCCATGGTCCGGGAGGGGTGGGGGGAGACACTGACCCTTCGCATCTGCTCCCGCAATTGCTCCCGCATTGACTCAGGGCACTTATCAAGGTGGCTCTTCGACTCATGGTAAAGCGCCCGGAGTTGCTCTAGCTCCTTCCTTTCAGCATCAACCTTTGCCCTTTCCTGAATGAGGGGAGAACAAGACAGAACAAAAAAAAAAAAAAAAAAAAAAAAAA